CTAGGGCTTCTTTTCTTGTAAGCATTCAGGGTCTGATGAATTCTACTTACTTAATCCCCCTGGTCTTCTCTCAATCTGCACAAGGCTAACGTGGTTTGGAGCTTGGATCTGCTCCTCCCTCGGCTGCAGGATACTGAAGGTGACACCCATTTTTGGGCTGCTCTGATGCTCTTCAGCAGCAACATCAAAGGTGCAAAGAGCAACTTTACTACCTATGACAGCCTGTTTCACCTATATTTTGCTTCATTATACATATACATTGTCTCCACTTGCAGGTCTGCATTTGAAAACATCTTCCGTAGGTGATTTAGTGACACAATTTGTATCAACTCAAATATGAGTCAAATAGTCTGTAAGTTCAGAACACCTCAAAAAGCACCCTTTGGCTTTAGAGGTACTAAAAAGCCACCTATTTCCAGGTTGAGCAGATGTCGATATGGCAACATCCCAGACAAGGAAGCCAAGCTGGGTTAACAACAAACATGCAGTTCTATGGCTGTCTTTAATGCTTTTTGAGGGTGGAGCAATACAGAACTCAGATGCTTTGTAACCATTTTCTTAGGACAAGGCAAAAGGGCTGTTAGCTCATCCTAGCTAAAAAGGAGCAATCACCTGGAGAGGCCCTACTACAGTTATGAAAATCAGGACAAGTGAAACTCCCACAAATTTTGCTTTAACAGTCAGGGTTGATGATTACACACTCTTCCCTGGCAAGTCTTTTTGGTGCTATTCCATCAAAGTGATGATAAGTACAGACTACATCTACATTTCTTGAAATCCTTGCCTGAATCAGTGCTGAGTTTTGTTTCTCAGCAGCAAGAATTGGGTGGCCAGGACAACTACAGATAGTCTGTAACGTGGAGAAGAGAGGGTTGCACCAAAGGAAGAACAGCCAAGCAACAAAAGGAACAGTCTGCAGTGGGAGGGATGGGTTCATGCACCATAGAGAGGGATGAAAGCGGAGGCTGAGGGGGCAAGGTGAAGGAGGATTGCCATTACCATGGAATTTATCCCTGGTCTAAGCTTCCTGCAAACACACAGAGCATTACTTTTATATTTCTTCTCTTCTATGTGACCCAGGCACACCCCTTACTTTGTTCTCATTATCAAAATACAGAAAAAGATCTGATCTGTTAAGGTATTTAGGACCATAAAAATGCAGATGAGCACCTGCACAACTACATCCTACCTTTTCAGATTCGGTGTGTGGTTGCTTTCTCCCTTACACAAGCTGGCAACAACCTGCTACAGAAAAAGTATTTTCAGCTTTGTCAATCCCTGTATCATTTTCACTGTTGTAAATATCAGATGGCAGCTTTGCAAAAAAGTAGTCTTTTATAATATATAGTTTTATTTTACTTTTTATCATTATGCATTCTACTGAACAGACCAAATCTAAAGATTCTTTAGGGTCTTTATGTCTGTTTCTTCAGGTTGCAAGACCAAGAGCATGCACCTGAAGTGTTTCAAGAGGGCATTATTATTTCCTTAGTGTGTAGTTCCTGTTGATATAGATCCTCTAGATAATGCCCTTCAAGAATAAAGTATTGAAATGAAAATAGATCCATCTCATGAAGTTCTACTTACTACAGTTTCAATTAACTTAGTATGTAGGTAATGGAAAAGAGAGTTAGATTGTAATTACCTTTTTCAATGTTCAAATCACCAAATAAATTGTCAATAACTATACACAAGAAAGGTTAAATCTGATACCAAACTATCCCACTTACTTTATGTTAGATTTAATGAGAAAATAAAGCATTGAATGTATTCTATCAAGACATGCCACTGTCTGCATTTTGACTGCAGAGTATATGTTCATTTGGTCCAAGTACCACTCACTACTTATGTGTGTATATATACATATATATATATATATACACACTTCTTTAACTTAATAAAAAAGACCCCAAAATCAATTTTTCATCTAAGAACCAGTAAAGCCAAGCCCAGGAAAGAGGATCTTGCATTGTGAAAGAAAACACAAAGAGAGCCCAAGAACATTTATCATGAGATCCATCACAGCAAAAGTTACCAGAAATCTTTTAAAGCTCTTTCTTTGCCAAAGGAAAGGTGATGACTAGAAGCTGATTTTGACATGCCAAGTAACTGCAGACTATCAGATGTTGTAGCTGACTTAAAGGTTTTTCTTGTTTGTTTGCTTATTCTCTGACAAAATGACGGGCAAGAAAATTCAAGAGCATCATGTTCTCTATTATGTGGGACTTAAATAGCGAGGTAGAATCTTTGCAGGTGTTTAACATCTTTGACTCAGAGTCAGTCACAAACAACTTACATTAACTGATCGTAGCCATAATTGCATGCCAAGGTTTATAAAAGCCTTAATTGCTAGTAGGTTTGGCATTTATTTCTCAGAAAGACTCTTTATTCACAAAGAAGTTTTAATTACACAGCTTGGATTTGAAAGTCCAAGAGGAATGTGCCCACCGATTTTGGTGGTGGTGGTGCTCATTTGTTGTTTGAAATCAAAGGTTTCTTGCCAAGTTAGCTGATCTGATAGTTTATTAAAACAAAGCCTAAAGCCCGCTAGCCCTCAATCAGGCTGACTCCGTGGATTAGAAAGTATCTATTGCCCCATCAGGGCAACTGCAATTTGTTCCTGAGGAAAAGGGAAGGGGGCCTCCTTCCAGAGCCACCCGTTTTTGTCACCTGAATATCTCCAGTTTAAACTGGAAAGAAAAGGAAAACTCCTGTGCTCAAACGCCACAAAGAAATCATGTCTCAAGTTGGCTCTGGCTTTACAGACCAAGACAGTAGTCAATCAACTAAATTTATTTCCATGAGAATTTAACTTCAAGGAGCTCTACAGGAAACAGCCAAATCATAAAATTGCTTGGCCAAACTGAAATTTCACATGCCCTACCTCTGCTTGCTTCTCCCTGGTTATTCCTACAAACCCATACGTATACCTCAAGCCACTTCACTGCAAGACAAAAACAGTTGTTATGGGAATTGTTAATATATTTATTTTGGACTGTTTTATCCATTAGCGTGACTTTGCAAGTCAAAAAGTGATGCTTCTCCTACAAGTTAGGCAGCAGGCTCTTCAAAGTAAGAGCTTGTTTTGACTAAACAAAGCAAAGTACACAGGTCTAAGTACGTGATACTTCTTCCTTACAAAAAAAGATAAGAGCTCAGCGGTGTTGTGTAGTCTTCAGCTCTGGTGATCATGCTTCTTTGTATGCTGAAAAAAAAAAGCCAGAGAAAAACAATCTGGATCACAAGCGTCCTCATGTCTCCGTAGTTCGGCAGGTTAAGATGCTATCGGGCTGTGATCTGCACATTCCACTATAAATGTTGTGAATACGCACATGCAGAAGAGGAAAATGAAAATTGTCTTTGCACAGATGTAGCATCATGCTCGTAACTAGAGCAAAAAGTTCCCTGAGAGTACAAGTAATTAATCTCTGAAAAAGCTTGTCAAAGGATACAGCAAATTCATCACTACTTGATGGCTTTACACAGAGTGTATTTTCAGATGTGCTCCATTTCAGCTACAAAATATTAAACTCCACAGGATTCACATACATGATGTGCAAACCAATTCCCTCCTCGGTGGAATTCCCCAGGAGTTTTGTGGCCTCCTGTCAGGCAAACAGCCGGATCAGGCTATTGTAAGGCTACCCCCTCATCCTCTCACCTCCCCTCAAAATTTAAGCAGTGTATATTTATAAGTAGTAAAAGAGGGTGGAGGGAAATTATTAGTATTTATCTTTAAGGCAAATGTAAAGCTCCTCTGAGACAACAGATGGCTCCAAAATCCCGACTATATTTTCTTCCTAATTCTTAAGAAAGGGGAAAGCACTTAATTTCTTTTGATTTTAAGCAAATGATCACTCTTCCCTCCTTCAGAAAAGAAATATCCAGCTTAGTAATAATTAATTGCATAAAACGCACAGTTATTGAAGCAAATGTGCATCCGTACATTTTTAGCAACATAAATACAACTCTTTTCTATAGCCAGGAAATAATTTCCTTTTCCTTTGTCATTGTCCTGGTTCTTTTCCTGGGGTCTGGACCTGGACAGGGAATGCTATTCCACAAGGCTTCTTGAAACAATAAAGCCAAGTTAACACGTTGAATCGGGCTGAAATGTTTCAAATTTAGCTAGCAGAGTGGCTGCCAGCAAAATCATCTCAAACATGGTTCATTCTGGCCAAAATCTCAGATTTGAGGCTTCCCCAGCTCATGTGAGTGCCCTGCCCAAAGAGGCTGTGCTCTAGCAAATAGATGGCACTAAAAGGTAGTTTGACAAGATATCTTTCAGATGAATTCCCACCTTCACCACTATCTCAGTGGACTGCTGATGTAGAATAACCCTCTTGGTAATGAAAATTATAGAGTGCTACAGTGTGACACAGGAGTGCACAGGAGTGAGTAAGGAATCCTATACGCAACAAAGAAAACACTGGATATAAAACACCTACACTAGTCTTTGCCAGCACTATAGTTAGGATGTGCTTACTCCCACCCACTAAGAGTGCTGCGGCATTTGCTCAGCACTGACCCAGAGGGTGAAGCGCTGTGTCTAAAATCGGTGATATTCCTGACTGTCTCCTTTGTTGTTTCCAAGCTTGTCATTTAAATTTCAATTCAGCCAGGGAATGCTTTGTTTGAGATCTGATGGGAACACAGGAAAATGCAGCATGATTTACATGTATTAAATTTGCACATCTGAAGCAGTGTCCTGAAATTACAGACTCTTCAGTAATAATCAACATAACCATTCCTTTTGCATTTTATGTTCACAAGATTACTTCTATGACAATACTTTTAGGAGGGTTGATATGAAAACGTGGAAATCTGGTCTCATTAGAGAAGATCTGAAGGTAGCTAGGGCACAAACTTTGCAATTATATCTTTGAGAAGGTGTACACTGCTACTATTAATATGAGTTCATGCCACTTTGAATCAAATGCATGCAATATTAATTTACATCTACTTAAAAGCAGTATATAAAGCACATATGAAGACATTTCTTTAAAAGTGTTTATTTTTTAAGATACAACAATTTTTGCCTTATAAAAACACTGGAGTATCTGGGCAACAAGCAATGCGAAAATGGCAGGAACTCCTCCCCTATTCCTGACACCTGGTTGCAATTCAAGTAAATTGAATTTCACAACACGTCTTGAACACAGTAAAGAACAGTTTTTATTTACAGATCCAAAACATCTTTTAACAAACCAATTAGCTCCCAAGTTTTTGGGGCCAGATCCAGCACTAAGCAGCTTCTCCTTCCAGCAGGAGAAGACATTACCAGTCACGTATGACAAACTACTCTCCCGTATCACCACTTGCTTTAGTAAGTCACAGTGCACTGCTAAATACAGCAGTGCCACAAAACCCCCCAAAGCACCCCACTCATTTCTGCTCCTGGTAGTGTTGCACAGTCTTAGCTATGGCAGCACTGCAATGACAACCATCTGTACAAATCTTTTTCCTCTTGCTTCCTGCACCTCATATCCCAAATACCCCTGAAGTGGAAGGAACAGCATGAGGTCCTGAGCATATTCTGAACTTAAGCACAAAAACTTGCAAATTAAGAGCTTTTTAGCTACACACTGCTAGCTAGGGGCAATCTCTCGTGGAGAGATTCATTTTGTTTGCAAAATGATGTTTCTTAGTAAAACCAATTATCTGCATCTATCTACAGCATTCTTTTAAGAAGGATGTTTTTCCATAAAAGATGCCTTAGCTGGCATACAAACTGTGCTGAATCAAAACCAAAATCCATATCCTATCTCATATGAGATAAGCAAGGACAGCAAAGCATTTCAGGGGAACAAAAAAATAGGGCAGTGATACAGTCAAAGAATTGGAGATAACTGGAATCGGTAATTTTCACACACTCTGGCTTTACCCTTTTTCATTTCACAAAATCCAGATGACGCCTTTAAAATGCAGGATGTCAACTACCATAGGGCCAGCAGACATTGGAGTATTTGCATTTGGTATGTACAACATCCAGCTAAAAAGAGTATTTCAGAAAATCACCATGTGTCTGTCTCAAAGTACAATTACTCTGCTTTCCTCAATTTGTCCTCCAATTTTTGTTCTTTTTAGACAGCAATCAATAGAATGAGCATGTGAAGAAAACAAGGATGCTGTGAAATTTAATAATCAAACAGCAGAAGGAAATCTGCTAATTTTCTAAGCAACTACATTGTTTAAACAGTGACATCATGTCAACAGTAAGCTCTCAAGTTTCATATTGTTCTCTCAGACCAGACATGACATTTCCACAAATACCAAAAAAAGTCAAAATAGGACACTTTAAAGATGAGCAAAACTTGCTCTCCCCCTAAAACTTAATGTATGATGTATATTTAAAATTAAATACAAGGATGTTTTAGCTAAAACACGTACTAAAACAAGCAATCAGCCATGAGAGACTTTTAAGATTTCTAAGAAAACTTAAAAAAAATATTTTCTCAGAAACAGTCCTGCTGAAACCCCTGCCGTTATATCAAGCAGCTTCACATTGACCAGTTGGTCACCTCAACAAGATGGCACAAGACTGCCACCTTGTGAAACCAAAACAATCAGATCTGTATTTATAGGGCAAATAGCAACTCTGTCCCCAGAGAATACAGAATACTTCTTACGACAATATACTGAACAATTCATCTGATTTGTCTACTCACAAGGAAAGTAACAGAAAAATATTTCAGCGGGTACACAGTGCTTCTGTGTAAAATTTATCCTAGTCTTGAACACGAACACGTGACAAAGAACTTAAAAAGAATGAAATACAGAATGCTCAGGAATAACAGAATACAGTTCACAACATACCGCATTATCAAATGAATAACAGAAAACACAGTTCACAGCATACAGGAGTATCAAACAAACTTCCTATCTTCCTGAATAACAACGTATTTGTAACTAAAATGAAAAACCCATGCATTCAATTACTTGTGGTGGTTTTTTCCCACCTCAAACCAATTCACCCATGCTGTGGCTGTTCAGCTCTCTATTACTCTGACAGACATTAAAAATTATCGTCTTTCTGTCCAAGAAAAACTGAACCTGAGCCTTTATTTTTAACCAGTGATTATAGAAAAGTTGGCTATGCTATTTTTGTTTTCACCTTGGACATTACAAATGAGTGTGATTTTTATCTAAATGGATAGCTGATTAATAAAATTTACAATTATCATTTTCATGCTGTTGTAAGTAATTTCATTGCCAACTGACACCTGCTAAGGAATTAACCTACGGTTCTACTGAAACTAGAAGACTTTGGCAATGTAATCCAGGATAAACACAGTCCTTTCTGCAAGCCTTCAAGAAGAATAAATTATGAACAAACACAATGGAAATATTTCCAGAGCAAAATATTAAAATCAATTTTCCAAAAGATCATTTAATCATAGAAACACACAATGGCTTGGGTTGGAAGGGACCTTAAAGCTCATCTAATTCCAACCCCCTGAGGGACACCTTCCACTAGACCAGGTTGCTCCAAGCCCTGTTCAACCTGGCCTTAAACACTGCCAGGGATGGGGCAGCCACAGCTTCTCTGGGTAACCTGTGCCAGCACCGCACCACCCTCACTGTAAAGAAATTCTCTTTAATATCTACGATACTTGCTCCAACATTTTAAAGCATGTTTAACTAACTCCAGTACCTAGTTTTAAACACTTCTAACTGATATTTCTTGAATTTCTAAGAGATGTTGATGGAATTTGCAGCCCTTTATGACTAATAATGATATAATTACAACCATCTTGATTTCTGAGACAGAATCAAGCTGACATTGAGCATTTCCTGCAAACTCACTGTGGTTCATCACCAAAAGTGAAAACACACCTTTACTCTAAAAATAAATTATTTCATGTTCTACTAATTCATGGACTTTCCACTTTAATTTAAGCTTATAGCCACTCAGCTTGCTTTAAAATTAGCTTTGATAATATTTTGAGAATAATTGTACTCCTAATATAAATCCCATGGTATAATATTATACCAGCTTATAATATTGATTAAAAAAAAACCCAACAGTTCAAAGACATCTGTCTACATGTAATTTCTCTAACATCTTGTGATGTGGAGCTTATTAAAAAGGTACTGTGCTCTAAATGTCGGGGCGTTTTATATTAGCTTTTCTTCACAAAATAAATGTATTAAAATTGTATACATTTAAACTCAATTCTTCTAACTTGAAACATGGCTGCTATCTCAGTTAAGAGTAAGTAGGAAGCATAAGCGTTGTCTCTTAACAGTGTTAATAACTGGAGGCATTCAGATACCAGTATCAAAAGACATGCTGGACAAGACAAAACACTGATGGAGTATGTAAGGAATTTTTAAATCTTCTCAAGCATATGAGTATCTGCTCCCCTTCATAAAGTCAAACAAGCAAACAGATCTAGAAGGCAATTCACAATTCTGACCAGACCCACATCACTTCCCATTTTATCATTCCAATTCACTCACTACTAATATTTCAGGACACAAATGAACTTGTACTGAAACATGCAGATGCTCTCTACCTTGTTTACATTTTTCCTAGCATGGCATACAAAACCAAAATTGGAAGCAGAAGGCATGCAAGGCTTCCCTTCCCAAAACTGTCATACTAAAATTACAACACAAGATAATATCCTGGACCCTGAAAGAACCGAAGTATCCCATTTCAGGTTTCTCTTGTCCCTTCAGCTTGATCAATCAAATACGGAGTGATCAAAAATAGCTTTCCCTACGGTACACACAACAACTAACATACTGGCTACAGTGACCTGGCAAACATCTTAAATTCAATATAAATAAACCTACTCATTGAAAAGTGATTTTAAGGTTCCCTTAGAAGAAACAGAGCTGCAAAGACATTGGGCAGGAGAATCTGAGTTAACCACACTCTTCATAGTTAGCACAGGTAGGGAATCAGAGCCAGGACATTGATATCATTGATTGATAAAGAAAAATGAAAAAACCCATGACATAATGTGAGTAAATAACTCCACAGTACTGACTTTTTGAGAAATAATTCCATTTCAGAGTGACTAGCATGGCAATAGTACAATAGGTTTGCATGGATTTGTCAGCTGTCTTTTAATTACAGAACAAGAAAGAACTTAAAAATGCTACACAGCATGCAAAGTTTTGGATCTCCTCCCCTGCCACATGGTTTAGTTATATTTATAAAACAGCTTAATAGTTAACTTTAAGCAATCAAATATTTTTGAGCCTAATTAAAGTCATTTACAGCCAGAAACCATTACAGCCTTCTTTTATTCTCAAGATAATACACTAGATGCTTTTAAAAATATATATATACACACACTGTATTTTACCTTTGTAATACAAAATATATTCCCTAGTTCCATTAGATCTGTATATATATGAAAACCATTTAAAAGAACAATTCAGTAATGCCATTAGTATTTCTTTAAGATTACATGTCAAAGATCTTAGAAACACTCAGTTCAACTGGGGAGTGCACTCAGATCCTACATCAGTACAAACCTGTGAACACAGAACCTCAGGACATAAAAGCTTGATGATTTAAAAGGGTATTCATTAGGCTGCATTCCACTGTGTAACGACACATTTCAGTCTGACGTATATATATTACTTCCCTCCTAACAGGTCACATTATCAACTGCAATTTATCTTTTGTTGTACAATAACACTTATTCCCCCAAAGAAGGTACATGCACACAGCCTCCACGGTATTTTCTAAGTATCAGTTTGAAATAAAATTTTCAAACTGCTTTAATGATTTAAGAGCCTACATTCTGCTTGCAAAACCAATGTAAGCATTTATCGACAAAAAAAATCATGATAATTCAGTGGCATGTAGGAGGTTTTGAAAACATACTTTAGTAGTGGTTCATACCTTGCCTGCCAGCAAACCTAGATGGAAATGGCCTGATCCAAGCAGCAAATATGCAGAGGTAACAAAAATGTTAAACACCAAAATATTTAGTTTTAAAGAGAAGCCTCTGAAACATACTTACAAATTGTCATATCCTCAAGAGAATGTTATATAGTATTTTGTTATAATGAAAAATCACTGTAAACATCTCTCTTACTTCACATAAATTACAGAAAGATGTGCTCAAATTCCCCTTCGTATTGAATGTTTTAATTCCAGGAGCTCATAAATTCAATACATGGAATACCTTCACATGACAACATACCAGATCTCACATTCAGTTGCAACAATATAAGCAAACAGCTTACTTCCCCAATTCCAACTGGGGGAAAAAAGTCTTCACATAATGCAAAATATACTGGGAAAGAAAAGGTCACCACATAAACCGCTGGATTTCATCACTATTTGGCCATTGGAATGTTTTGGTTAGAAAAACATATAAAGTTGTGGCATTCACAGCAATATAAAAAGCCAACTCCAGAAGCTGTCTATATAGAGATGGAAATGGAATATTGAGTCTGTATATTAAGAATGGCAAAATAAAGTAACGAAATTCCAGCAATTTTTGAGGAACTGTGACTGCTAGTAAACATACAAAATACATCAAGATCCAGAATATCGGTTTTGATTTTAGTGTATCAGCAAAACTCCAGCAAGAAAATATATAGACTGGAACCAATACATATTTTACAAGCTCATGTCTTTGGAAGACTTTTCTCCAGACATAAAATGTATAATGTCTGTTATCTGCTAGTAAATACTTATGAACATAGGTAAATTTCCAGATCAGGAATAAAGAGATGGCAGTGATTAAGCTGTACTGCACAGGGTGCTTTCGTAATGACAGAAGGAATTTCTTGATTTTAGAAGTGGTCAATAAATGAGGGAATGAAAAAAAGACAGTAAAGGACAGAAAATAGAACAGCTGAGGAAAGTGCAAACAGGCTTCATGGCTACTTCTGTCACCAACAACTATTCCACCATTGATGAAGAGAAAGACAAAGAACCCAGTGACTAATATGATGTATGGCCAAGTTAAAACAGTAAGTGTAACTAAGTTTTTAGGTGATGTGAGGTATTTGATGAGAAACTGCAATACTCTCATCAAATCTGAAAATGATCCTTTCCTGGAAGAAATCTTTTCATCTTTCTTTTTCTGTAACTCTGTCTTCCAGGCTTCATTTAGCTTCTCTGCAACGATATTTCCAGCACAAAAAACTGTCCACACAATATTTGTCTGACGAAACATAAAGCCACAAAATCCAAGGAGAGCTGAAGTTTTATGGTTACCATAAAGGCACATTAAATAGGCGAAAAGTGTGAAAAATACTGATCCTGGGTCTGTATAATAAAGGAATGTAAAAAAGTAAAGGGTGGGAAACATTGCAAGCGTTAACGTAGACAAGATTCTCTGGAAGCCAGACACAGCCTAGAGAAGAAGCAGAAAAATGTGGTTAAAAATGTCCAATAAAAATAACATAAAACAAACAACTAATCCCAAATATAATTCTTGAGAATTCCATTAACACAATATAATATCTCTTATGCTCTTTGGCTCCATTATTACAGAAGCACACAGGCTGTATTTTTGTTAACCTCCTGCTATGTTAATGCAGAGTGTCAGACCACACAACGTTAGTACAGCACATTACTGCAGGCGAGTTAAAAACACAGCAACAAAAATACACCAACTTCTTTCATATGTCAGCTGTTCACATATCTGTGTCATTAAGGTCATTGCAGGAGTCTAACTGCTCCCATATCTCGGATAAAATAGCTAATGGGCCAAGAAAAAAGAAAACGACCAACAAACCAACATTTTATGCCCCTGAAATTTCATCACCAAGATTCTGCTTGTTTGTGAGACAGCAGAACACATCATTTCATGCTTCTACTCTTGCCTCTTTTGAATTCAGTCCACAGAGTGGCCCGTTCAAAGTTTCTGATCTTTGGTGCAGCTTTTACTGTTTATCCTCATTATAATTTGTGATTTAGAAAAGAAACTTCAAAGAAGGTAGGAGACCATGCAGTTAAAAGCTCCTCCCAATTAACCCACTCACTACATGATGAAATACAATTCACAACATTAAAAAATGTTGCATGATGTTTCTGAATGATGCAGCATGGGGTGAAACAGCCAGTCATCACCTTACAGAAAAGAGAAATACAGAAAATGTTGAGCTCAAAACCAACAAGGCAACTACATTTTCTAACTCTTAAGACTACTGTTTACTTACATTTGTATTTCCACTTCAAAGCATAAGATTAAGTGTTCCAAAAGTGAAAAAAAAAAATTATTGAATTTGACTCAATTCTGTATAGTCTTACTGTGTGCTTAAAATTGAAGAGTCTCCCTTAAGAAAATACATCAGAAGAAATTTTCCTTAAAGGAATTCTTCAGTTATCAGAGAACAGGAAAAAATGTTCTTATGGTTAAAAGTGAAACTGAAGAATTTGACTACGGTGAAAGATTTTGAATAGGCCATTAATCACTGAAACAATTTACCTGCTGCAGTGGTGGATTCTCCACCACTTTAAATATACAATATTCCTATGCCCAAGTTGAACTGTTACGGTCTGGATGGGTGGTCAAAGGTAAGAACTGGCTGGCTGGTTAACTAGTCACACTCTACCCAAAGAAGAGTAACAACCAGAGTAACACAGGGATCTATACTGGAACCTGTCCTCTTTAACATCTTTATCAATGACCCAAAGGCAGCAAGAGTACACTCTCATCAAGTCTGCAAATGACACTAAACTGGTGGGACCAGGCTGAAGAGCAGAGCTGCCAAGCACAGTGATGAAGACAGGCTGGAGGAATGGGGCAACAGAAACATTATGAAATTCAATGAGTTCAAATGCAAATTCCTGCACCTGAAAAGGAAGAAATCCCCACACTGATAGAGGCTAGACACAGAGTAGCTGAGGATCTGCTGTTCTGTGGAAAGGGACCTGGGGGTCTTGGCAGATAATGAAGTGAACATGAGCCAGCAGCTTGCCTGGATGGAACAGCAACAGCCTCCTGGACTGCATCAACAAGAGAGCATAGAAGCAGATCAAAGGAAGTGATTATCCCTCTTTATTTGTTAGGCTGCACTTACAATATCACAGAAAATTTTGTGCCCTGTGATATAAAAAAAGCACCAGTAAACTGAAGCAATGGCAGAGGGCCACCAAGACAGTGGGAGACTGAAACATATGCTCGAAGAGCAGAGGCTGTGGGAGCTGGCCTTGTCCAGTCTGGAAAATAGATGGCTTGGGAGGACTGAACAGCAGCCTACGAATACCTGAGAATATCACCAGCTGAAAGAGTTAGGCTCCTCAAAGTGGTACACTGTGGAAGAGCAAGGGACAACAGGCATAAACTGAGAGGTTCAGACTGGATGTAAGAAAAATCTTTTCCACTGTGAGGGCAGTCAGTCATGGAGCAGGTTGCCCAGAGAGCAACCTGATCTGACCTCAGGGGTGGCCTGCTTTGAGCTTGAAGGGTGGATCTTCTAAGGTCCTTTCTGCCCTGAATTATTCCCCACTTTGCAACTTGAATTATTCTTTGGTTCTAAATACTGGTATGAAACCTGGTATCTTTCCAAAGAACAGAGTTTAGTTTAAACACAGCTTACAGGGCTTCACTCAGGATTCAGTGGCTGAAATTTTCTGGAAAGTCAGAAGCAATTTCAACTAGATGAGCATTCAGACCTTTGGACAGTAACTTTTTTATTTCAATGGGGCTACTTATCGTTACAAGAGTAAATTTTTAGAGGTTTGCACCCTGAAAGAGAAAAAAGATTAAAAAAAAAAATCAAAACAAAAAAAAATGGAAAAAGGAACATGCCTCCTTGGCCGAACTGGTAGTAGTACTTGCAGTTACATAAAGCTTGCTCACATACATAGCAAAACATACACTGAGGTACCAAAATTGCTTGTACAAGTGTATAAAATGTACGAGTACACAAAAGTAATTCTACTTTCACCATACCTTATTCTTCTGATGGATCTTGGACAGAAGTAAATACAATAAATAGAAGTTCCCAGCACTGAAAAGCAGGTTAATAAACCTGAGCATCCCTGTAGAGCACACCACGCTTCCCGTCCATCCACAGAGCCATGCCACAGGCTTCACTATTCCCACCGACACCAGGTACAAGCCCGGCAGTGTGGTGATCATCGGGTCCCACTGCAAAGTGGAGCAAGAAACAGGTTATGGGCTGCTATCACACAGAAAAGGGACCTGAGACACACAGCGGGGTATGCCACAGCATGCCCACCCGCTCCCCGTTCTTAGCTTGGATGCTTGGTGCACTGCTGGCATTACTACACTAGAATATTTGAACACTCCCTATCCTGCACCACCAAGAAGCAGAAAGCAGCGTCTGGGGCAACGACGACCACAAAGTATTCTCTTTTCGAAACGCCCACGGCACGTTCATACAAAGCATCGCTCTGACTGGCACGGCTCCGCGCAGCACCTGCAGGAAGCGTCCCTGGCAGTAGGCCTGTGCCTGCGGGACGTGGAAGGCCTCGTCCATGTAGGGTCCGCGCTGCCCGCGATTGACGGCCGCGAACAGCAGGCACGACAGCAGGAACGCGCCGCTCATGACCGCGGAGAAGCCGTAGGCCTCCGACCGTTCCATGCTGCCGCCGCCGCGCCGAGAAGGCCGGGCTGGGAAGGGGCCGCCCTTCCGGGAAGGGCTGGGCGCGGGAGGTGGGGCCTGGCAGTGGGGGACGCGGCTGTGGTGCTCGGCGGGCGGCGGCGAGGGGCGGCGAGGGGCGGTGAGGGGCGGTGAGGGGCAGAGGTGGCCAGGCGAGGCCAGGCCAGGACGGGACGGGAGGGCAGGAGGAGCCAGGCGCGGTTGGTGGCTGCCGGGCGGGGAGGATGAGGGGACCGGCGGGCGGGTCGGGAGGTGCGGCCTGCCTCCGGCCGTGGAGCCGTACGCATGGGGCTTGCCCTCCGGGAGACTTTAAAAACCATCTGTGAATGGTGTTATTGAAACTGTGTTTTATACGGGACAGGAGCGGGTGCGTGTTCGTTCATTGTTTTGGTAAATGGTGTAGGGTTGGTGCTGCCGGACGCTCCCGGGCTGGTCCTGCAGGATGGAGTTAACGCATGGGCTGGAGCTGTTCCCTGACTGCACAGTCACCATCCTCCTCTTCAACCACGTGAAAAATGCAGCTGCTCTAAGGAAGAAGGCCATGGAAGGGTCCATCGAAGGAGCATTAATAAACCCTGCCATGGTGAGTGAATGCCTGAGTGCCTATGACCTCCCGTTCGGACTGCGTTACAGTTCTAAATGCAGCGTGGAAATCCTTCTCTATGGGAACTCCGTGAAGAACAGCCTATGCTTGTAATCACTTGTCACACGAGTTGCTGCTATACACTGCAAATGCTCCTCCTCTGATTTCATTACGGTGTTGTACAGTGTAAGGGTTCATCTGTGTGAAATAAAAAGCCCTGGCAGGATTGGCCAGAACAGTTGTCGCCTTGGTTCACTTCACATCCTGCTTGGTGGAGCTATTTAAACCTGCTCCCATCTGTGAAATGCAGTACTAATTGCATTATGCTGTCCAAAACCTAATATTTGGAGCCTTTTTTCTCATTTAAACCCATAACTATTTTCTGAATCTGGCCTTTTTTGTTAGAATTATCAAAGCTGTAGTTAGGAAAGGTGAAAAAAAAATAATCTGACAATTTACTGACAGAAGATTTATTAATGTGATTCTTTTTTCAAAAGATTTCAGTAACCTGATTGAGAGAGCATAGTCTTGACTCTGTCAAGTATAACTGTACACAGGCAATAATCACATGACTTTGGAAGAGCAAGAATTGCTAAAGTAACTAGTAAAATACTGGTTTCCTCCCCTCTATGAGGTAGACTTATGCTGTCAAAATTTAGTGGTCAGGATTTTTTTCAGAGTTCAAAATAGGAAGTTAAATTTCTGTTCAACTTCTTCGTTGTGTTTTACAGATTGTAGATCCTTTTCAAATTCTTGTGGCGGCCAACAAAGCTGTTCATCTGCACAGGATAGGTAAAATGAAAACCAGAACTCTCAATGCCGAAATTATTTTCAGCCTTTCACCAAACAACAATGTAAGATTTACTGAACAAATGTCTTTTATTGTCAGACAAGGTTGCCAAGATCCATGCAGCCAAACTAAATAGATTTATTCATTCAAGGTCAGGTTGGACAGAGCCTTGGGTGACATGGTTTCGTGGGAGGTGTCCCTGCCCATGGCAGGGGGGTTGGAACTAGACGATCTTAAGATCCTTCCCAACTCTAACTATTCTATGATTCTACAAACTGTTTACCTGGCTACTAATAGAAGTCACAGCTATTTTTATTAACACTAATACGTTGTTATCTCTTGTAGCTTGTCAGAATTACATTAATGTAAAACTGACAGTTTATATTCTTAGTCTATTTGACCCTGTAGCTGAAAAGGTTGCTCATATATAGTGAGAAAGTGACTCATAATATTTTCTTATTTTTTATGCTTTCTTAGATTTCAGATGCATTTAAAAAGTTTGGCATTTCAGACAGTGACACAGCGGTGCTTATTGTTCTGGTTGTGGACAAAGAAAAAACTGTGAATCTGGGAGATATAGTAACTCAGGTGGAAGGCCAGCAGGTTTCTCTGAATGAACTCCCCCAACTAACAGACACTGCCAGAGTTAAAAAGGTATGTAGCCAAAAGAGATGACTGGTGTAGAGAAAAGTGGACATTATCTTAGGGTCTGTATTTCTTTAGCACAACTGGAAGCCTGTTTTAGTGAACTTGATCATTTCTTACTTACAATTTTTTTAGTTGCAAGAAGTTCTAGTTGTCAGACCCCCAACAGCATAAATTTTAAGTCTTAAAATCCTTAGCATCGTCAGGAAGTTGGAACATAAAAATACATTCCAGATTGCTGCCTACCATTCAGGCACTTTGCTTCCTGTTTTCTCAGGCAAATATTCATTTAATTAAAAATAAATTTCCAGTCCTGAACAGTTTCATAATCTTAAGCACATAAATAGTCCCAGCATGGGTGGCTGAACTAAAAATGTGTTGATTAGCTGCTAGAAGCTGCTTTGGGGCATGTGTGCTCTTAGCAGATTACCATATGCTAGATAAGTATCTTGAAGCATATGTGTTTAACTTCAAGTAACTTAAAATTCAAGTAACTTAAATCATTTTGATCATGTTGGTCAAAGTAATGATGGGAGACATGAATAAAACTGGACAAATAATAGCATACAACATGTGGAGCTAAAATTGCTTCTCTCATTCAGTTTCTTAGCTTTATGTCTTGCCATTTCAGAATTTCCTTGGTTCCTTAGTCCCAATTTTATATCACAGTCATGACAAGATTAAAATTTCCAGTGTAAAAAGTGTGGGAGAAGGGCAAACCTTGGGTACATATTTTTAGAAGACATGTGATGAATTTTTTTCTTCCTTACACATGTTTTATGGTTTTCTTTCTCTGCAGATGTACAAAGTTACTCCGCAAGAAGAAAAACTCGGCACCTTATTGGATAGTATTGTTTGCAGAATGTCAACAAAAGATGTTATATGAAAATGTGTAAATAAATTTTTTCTAAAGGAAAAAGAGGGCTTTCTGAGATGTAAAAACATTTCATTGCAATTTATTGTGCATTTCAGAGAAAGTGGTATAGTACTGAGCAGTTTGATGATATCTGAGCTTTAATCATAAATAAGCAAGTTTGGATATGGGGGTAACCAGGGCTGTGTTCTAAGCACAAAGAGAAATCTTGCTGTGGAAAGCAGAATTTGCCATTGGCATTTCTGTCCATTTTCTTAACAAGATTAAAAAAAATCACTTTTGCCAGTACCTTAAGTTGATCTAAACAGAAGGCTGGGAAATCTCTACTTACTCCTCTCTTTCATCAAACATTTTGCTAGGTGCAGAAAGGTTTCAAACACTGTAAATCGTTTTTATTAGCCCTCCCTTGATTTGTTTTCTTTCGGCATCTCGATGGATGATGTCCTTTTAATGATACTGCTGCTGGAAAAGGCATCTCCATGGCATGAATTATTGCTGATGGGCTAGGAAAAGGAAAGTTTCCATAAACTGTCAGCAGCACTTCCCTCTTTCTGCTAATGGGATACAGTCACTGCCCACCCATTGGGAACAGGAAGGGCCCTGTGGCAGCCAGTGCTGGAGCAGTGTGGAGCAGGGGTGTCAGGGATGCGTAGGACCGTGAATGAGGTCAGCATGGATGATGCAGCGGTGATGGTAGCACCTAACAATGTGATGTTACCAGATGGAGGGTGCTGCTGAGCTACTGGTCTGTTGCTGTGGTACTTACATGTTGGTGTTGAAAGATAATGAGAGATGCTTTTACTACACCGAATTATACATGGTGATGCTGACTTCCTAGGGCCTAGTTCTGGGTCCAGAGCTCACAGAGAATTTTTTACCCTACATTTATTTACTTATATTGTCAATAGAACTTACATAGCATTCTGAAAGGATCATTGAACTTGTTTGGTTGAACCAGTGTTGGAGGCCATCAAAAGGAGCTAAAAAGAATATTGTTTTCCAGCAGTCATCAGGTCCAGCAGTCCTGCATGAGTATCGTTTAATCACATGCAGGCATCCTGTTTAAGAACAAAACCTCTTCTAATCAGGTGGAAATCCATTCTGCTATTGCTATGCTATATAGTTTTTCTGGGATGTGTGTACACCTGTATAGCTGTCTGAATATGGGTTGGTTTTATTTGTTTCCTAATGTTCTCTGAGGTGTTACAATTTGTGTATGTAGAAGATATTTGGAAGAGTATGGCCCAGTTTCTTACACAGTGTGTGGGGAAACAAATGTATTTTTGGGGAGAGGCAGGTCTGAGTTAAGAGTTGAAATGTTATCCACTACAGTAAACAGACCAGCAAAATGACACATAGACGTATTGTCTGTGTTTCTGTATTTAATATGAAAACCCCTAGTTTCTGTTCTGCATTTTTATTTTGGTTAATGCTTCCCTCAATTAAAACACAGTAGTACAAGTACCATCCTCTTCTTACCAACCAGATCAATGGCCAAATACTTGCCAAGTACCAAGGGAATTAAAAGGTTTATCAAAATAAGTTATTCAGGAGAAATGACCCTGCTGATTTCTTGATTGAAAGATGGTTCTACAGATTGTATCATCCCCTTAAAGGGAAATGTGAGGGAATAGTAAAGAAATGGAGTTTGGAAGGGCTTGAGTCTTTTGAAATAACACGTGTGTAACATCAGCATGTGAGAATGACTGTGGCAAATACAAGACTTGTTTTCCTTTTCTGACAGTCTGGTTGGTACATGGATTATATCACCAGATTTGCTGGCTCAATTGCTGACATTGGTTTTGGTAGCTTAAAATAATGGTAGGTAGTTATGCTTAAAGCACAGCCTTTTTTGAACATGTGTAAAGCATCAGTCTGGTCTGTTTAATACAGGAGAAATGCTAATAAAAAGATCCCTGCATAACAGTTGATACATAAGTTCCAAACTTGGCTTCCCAGTTTCTAATTCTTGTCAGTGTCTTTCACTGGTGTGGAAACAGTAAATAGTTTGTTACTGTTGCCATGAGTTAAATTATGAAACTGTGATTTACTGTGAGAATTGAATGAGCCATTTTCATGGGTGGATTTACTGGATATTATTTTGGGAGCTGAAGTCTCCTGACTGACTATCGTTCAGTCAGGCAGATGATTTGGGTCTGTTGGTAGTGAAGACTATGCCACTGACCTGCAAGACCACAGTTTTCCTCTAATCCTAGTTGCATTATCTGACTTAAACAAATTGCTTACAAAAACTAGGAATAAATTTGAGTTGTGTTGACCCTGTGAAGTTACACTTGTCTTTCTGAAAACTAAAATTAGAATGTCTGGATATATAATATTGCTGTTAAATTGACCCCCACTGTTTTCCATCAAAGCAAAAGCTTAAGGAACTTGGGTTTTTCAAAACATTCAATGTTCAGCTGCTTCTCTTCAGAACTTTTGTACCTTATCACCTCTATTACAAAGGTGAAAAAGAGGAAGCTGAAGCATTTTCAATACTTTACTTGGACCTTCTGTGCTTCAGAGGTAAGATTGTAACTGCAGGACATACAAATTTAACATCTAAGTGTAAAAGTATGATGTGTGGTCAGTTCTAGCTTTTATTTTTAAGGTGGAGTGGTTTTGGGTGGGGATTTTTGGCTGTGCTGCCTGTTTAACATTGTGTATATGATAAAAATTGAGTGAAACCAGCAGCTTGTGCTTCTAAAAGGCAATGGCCAAAACCTCATCCTCCACAGAACTCACTTTCCTGCTTGAATGCTTTGTAACACATGAGTTTATTAGAGAAGTAGAGGGGAGAAAAAGAAAGATAAAACACTGGAGACAGGACAAGCAAGAAATGGCCAGTACAAAGCCACTTTTTACAATGACTTTGTCATACATGCTAAGGCGAGCAGGCTATCCTTTTTGAGTTAAGGATGATTTCCAAGCTTTCAGCCCAGGTAAGTCTGATGTATATCCAAACAACTGGTGATTCCATGAGGAATGCAGACATACACTCAAGGAGCACTTGCCTGCCCTGTAGCAAGGGAGGTAGTCCAGTAGCACACTGTGATTTGCCAGCAGCCATCACCTGCAGGCTGGTGCATATGTGTGGGATCAGATATGTGCCCATCCCGTGATTAGGGGAGTGTGTATTTTGGCACATAGGAAATCTCACAGTGATGTAAAACAGGCAGTCAGAGGTTCTGCAGGGAAAGAGAGCAGCAAAGGGTAGTCTGCCTTGCACCAAGATGGCTCTTCCTGAGTGCTGTGCAGCCACATCTGCAGGCCACTGTGATCAACAGCACAAGCAATGCAGGTTCACTGACCTGACAGTTCAATTTGTGAGCTGCAGCCTGTGCACCTCTGAACTGTGTGTTTGATATTAGTAAAATGCATGTTTCTAAAAGCTATGCATGTTAGGACAAATAGCCAATCCAGTTTACAAAATTTTAAGCAAAGGAAAAATCCCCATCAGCTGTCAGTGACCAGTTCCATGAGTGAGTTCCCCTCACCATTAAGTGAGCCCCCTCCCAGCTCTGTTCACTGGCTTCCTCTCTTCTGCCATCCTGAGATGCTTTTACCTGTCTGCTTTTATTTCCAAAGACCTTCACAGTTCACATCAGTCTCCTATAGCCTAAGCATACCCTTTTGCCTTGTGATTTCAAAGCAACAGCTTCAGGCCTCCTTCTGTGCCTGCTTCAGGTAGGGGAACCTCCCTTCATAGTTTTCAAAATAGATGATTATTCAGTACCACTCTTTGACCCGCTGCAAAAACTCCCTCTCCTGCAGAAGCCTTGACGACGGTACACATCCAGTGCACTGAGGCCATCGCCTGTCACACAATCCCAGTCACACAGGTTTTTGTGCTGCTGTCAGTATGTCTAAATCCCTCTCTCTTCTAGTGTGCTTCAATGGTATGTTTACAAGAGAGGGACCATCCTTTTGCTTTCACTTGCAATATTAGTTTATGCTGCATGGTTTACGGCTGGGTTCCCTATGTCTTATGACAAGTTATTTAATGTGCTAATAATCATTTTTAAAATATTATTCCTTTGTATGCTGTTCTTCAGAGATCACCATCAAAGCTCTGCTCCCATGTTAATCATAATGAGGTGGTACCTTAACAAGGACATTCGTTTGGAGTGGTGCAGTGCTGCATAGGTACAGGAACACCAATTCCAGCACCCACACCTGCTGGGAGAGCTGATGCAGGCATCCCTGATGCTACACTGTGCTTGTAAGCACTCCTCGAAGTGTGCCAGGTAGGTCTTTGCAGAAACATTTTAGTTTATGTGCCCCTCCTAATTATGGATGGATACCAAAATGCGGTATGCAACACTTAACAGAATTGTGTTCCCTACTGGTGCTCTGTAATTACAAAGATATAAATCTATCTCTTCCTAAGTATTCAGAATATCTTGCAGTTCTTCTTTGTTTATTAGGATACTGTTTGTTAGTTTATACAATGCTGGAATTTGGGGTTTAAGCTGAGTTTAAACTCCAAAAGCTTGAACTATTGTTCCCAACAGCCATTGCCCCTCAGAGCTTCCAGTCCATTAACCTGAGCTCATCAGGAGTAAGCAACCACACAACCAAGAGTGTAACAGAGGCTGCCAACTGGCTGTATTTCCATAAAGCTTGCAGGTTTTCCGAGTAGAGTTCCCTGAAAACATGGGAATATGGAATACCCTCCATCAAGTGTGGGCTGGTGTCTGTAGAAATTGGTATGGCCATGAGGTATTTTAATGAACTATGGAAAAGCAAGCAGTTATTGAAGATGAATTAAATATATTGGTATAAGACTGAAAATGAGCCAGTTGGTTCTGCCATAAAGGATGCTTACAAATATAGTTTATTTCATTATTTTATTCCTGAGTTTACAAAGGCATTACCACAGGTTAAAAATATGCAGGTGCAAGTCCCATATAAACTCTTCAGCAACAGAGATGAGAATTTGATTGCTTCATAGGTCTTCCTTTGCTTGCAGGATAGCTGGTTTTGTTAATTTATTTGTTTTCTTATGATGTTGTGACATGGCAGATTATTTGCTTGCTTATAGTATATGTTTTATGATGGATTCGAACAGGTAACCTTAGCAGAGGTAGACACTGACAACTGAAGTTCAAAAATGGAAAGCTGAGGTTTCTCTACAAAACACTGACCAACAAAAACATAAGCAGAACTCTTCTTGCTAGCATATTGTGCTTAAGGTAAGTTTCATATACATGCGATGGGTAATATAAACGTGTACTGTGCAAACAGGTTATGTTATTCACAGTCATGTTCTGTATATTGACAACTAAATTGCTTCACAGTTTCAGTTTCACACATAGCAATATTTTAAGCAGTTTCAAGCAAACTGTAATATGCTGAGACCATTTTTTTTTTGTACCTCCCAGGTATGGGTAATTGACAGAAATATTCCATTAAATATTTGACAAAGAAAGTGTATTGCTGCTATCAGGATGAATCCTTTCTTGACCAGGCTCCCCAGATTGCCATTAGAAGGATCATGACAATCACTGTGTAAAGGGTATGGACTGTAGCAAGATCATCTCCATGCTGGTCCTTGAACCCAGAGGTGCTGTGCCAGTTCTCACTTTTGCTGCCATTGGTTTTCTGTCTGTGAGCACGGAGAGAATGTATCCTGCCATAACAAAAAGCATGATTAAGATTAAAAAGAATTCTTTTTATTAACAGTGTTTATAATGAAGCACAGGGTGTGCATTGTATCATTGACTAGATTTGGGAAAGAGCTCTTCAAGCTGTATGGGGCTAATAAATTAATTTCCATAATTGGAAATGCAAAAAAACACCAGCCATTTGGTATCTTTCTCCCACTGACAGGCAGAGAGACTGGGTATGAGCTTGTTAGAGAATGCACAGTGCTTTTTCTCGTCACTGTTGATACAGATCAGTTGTATGAGAAAAAACATACCCTTAATTTTGCAATATTATGAAAGTGGGAAGGTTTAAAAAAAAATAACCAGTTTTCAAACCTTTAATCCGGGGGAATAAGCACAGTCTGTGCTATGTGAGCTTCCCATCCTGCTCTCATAATGTGTTTCTATCTCCGCTTTTCAGAGGGGACTTCCCTTGGCAGTCTGTGTCAAGGTGCTCATTAGCCAAAGGTAGCAATCAGCAGTAACTACACAAAGCATACCTCCTGGATTCTCTGGAGTTAAATTTTACATTGGTTTGCCACCTTTCCCAAATGGTTTGAAAGCAGAAATATTAACCTATGGTAGCTGACCTCCCCTTATTATCTCCACTGAAATTCGTCTGCTAAGCCCCGGTGGGCCTGCTTCTTTTTCTGTTTTTTGGTTTGTTGTTTTTTTTTTTTTTAAGAGAAAAAAAATGTTGAGTGTCCATAATTCCACCTGAAGTGGAATGCCAAAAGGTCAATCAGCTTGTGATTTTCATGCAGCTTAGGAAGGGGTCTCCGAAGTATTAGCCATAGTACAGCTCTGGTTCATGCATGTTCCTGCTGTTATTATCACCAAAGTGTAAGAGTTACCAAAAACGTTACTGCAGATACAGCTTACAAGTAAAGAGCTTTTAAAGACAAATCATATTTATGCTTATGCACACATAGAAAAGAGCTGTCAAAACTGATCTCTTAAAAATGAAAGACTAGGAAGTGTAATCTGCAAAAGGCAATGCATCAATAAAACAGACATTCTGCAGCTGAGACTACATAAAGCAGTTGCAGAATTAGAAATACACATTTAACACTGGTATCAGGACAAGGGCTACCTTCTACCTTGTGTAAATCAAATAACAGTTCATTATCATATTGCAGCATCATGTGAAGACCATGAGAGGAATATTCTGTCAGTAGTTTGCTTTCCTATTCCCACCTAAGGGGAATATATGTATATGCAGCTTACCTCCTGGAAGCATTCATGGTGTCTTGGTAATTGAGTTCCCAATGCGTCAGATTTCTTCTTGCAGAGAGAAAAAAGGCCTTTTTAATGCTCTTTTTTCCTTGCACAAAAGAGGAAAATCTTCACTCGGTACCAACAAAAAGAATCCTCCTTCCAATCCCACCAACTTGACCAACACTAGTCTGGTCAATCGAAGTTCTCAAATTACTGGTTTTCTAAAGCTGATTTTGACATAGTTCTTCAAGAAATTCCCTGGAGCAGCTCAAAAGGCAAGTAATGAGTAATCCCAACGACTGGCTTCTTTTAGCTGCTGGGATCCCTTCTTATAAACAGTAGCTCGCTGCTGAAGGGTTGCCAAATTCATAGCAACACAAGTAATGCACAGATGGAGGGTGCTGGTGATGAAAAATGCAGGATGAGCTGTAACTTAGAACTACTTTCTATTAGATCACAGGCTATTTTGGGGTAAAACCTTAGTTCCTTTCACAACTACAATTTGGTTTAACTTGCCTGGAGTGAAATTTCAAGCCACCAGCACTTAAATGTGCCCTAATATTATAATATTTTAATGGAAAAGTACATGCCTTCTTTAATAATCTTAACTTTTATAATACAATCATACTCAATAATCACAAAAGAAGACATTTTGGACATTTAGGGTTAGTAACAGTCACATATATCCTACTCTTCCCTGACCTCCAGTTAATTGGCAGAAGTTCTCCCAAACCTTGGGCATTGCATGATTAGCTGGGTTAACAGTGGGTTTAGAATAATAAATCCAATGGTCTAGTAATTATTTGTTGGGCTTTTGAATCAACACATTTAAATTTGTAGTTTAGAGAAAGAGGCCAAAGCCCTTCTTTCCCAGAACAAAATGGGAACACCTTCTTGCATCATCTTTAAACTATATACAAAAACCCCCAAACCTTATTTGTCATTTAACTGTTATTTTAAGCTGGTTGACACATATAATTGCTCTTAAGAAAGATCTGAACTTACAGTTCTGGTGCATTTCTAAACGCTTTTGCCTTTCCTTCACACAGCATTTATATTTTTATATAAATGAAATTGGTTCCTTCAGTTTTATTACAACAGTTAGCAATTTCTAAATAAGTCTTGGGGTATCACACTCCAGAAAATTAAGCCTGAGCTTGTTGACTTATACTCTCAGCAGTCTTAAAACTCTTTTCCATAAATATAATTTCTAAAAAGAGCTATTTTAATTTCTTTGACACTGTGACCATTTAATAGAAACTGATTGAATTTCCATTTCTTTTAAGTAAACTTGTTACAAGACCAGTACGTCAGCGTGCATTTCAACGAAGGGTATGTGCTGCATGCTTCCAGTGGTTATGTGAGTAAAACTGTGTCACCGGAACCAATGGAGCTACCAAGGACATCATATCATTCTTCATTATTAGTAATATATTAAATATAGAAAAATTGAAATATTACAATGGTTTGGGAGAAGAAATTCAGACATCAGTAAAGAATTATTGACTTGAATCACTTCTAGCTCTTTCAGACCTGATCCTGAAAAGATAGGCAGTTATAACTTTTGGATTTTGTTTTCATAAATAGCATACAAAGAGTGGTAGATGCCCCACTGAAAGGCATACACTGAATTTTTCCTGTATGATTTTAGTTTTCTTTATATTTTTTTTTCCTACATTACAGCCTATTTGCCCTTTTCCCTACTAATTTAATCTTGGTTTTCTTTTTCTTACTGATGCTTTCATTTTTTGACTGAACTAAGCAAAAGGAGGTATGTGTGAGCCTCATCTCAGAAGTGTAAGATTGTGGATTTTTGGTCTTATAATACACTCTTGAAATCTCCTGACTTTTATTCTTCTATCATAATTTTTCTTTGTGGAAAATTATCCTTTATAATGCACATGGCCCAGTTTTGTTAATACAGCCATGGACCCTTGCTCAACTTACTGAAAAAGAATTGCTGTTGAGCTATTAGTGAAATTCTATAGGCTAGAGCAAAGCAGGAGAAGAATGGTAAATGTAGAATTGAAATTGTAACATCAGTAATAGCAATTCAAGGACCCATGAAAAATACAAAGAGAACAGGTATAAAACCCTGAGCTGAAAAGCTGAAAGACAGAAACTCTGTAACAATGACGATCAGCCTGTTTTAAACACAACAGAGCCTGACACTTCCCCCGACATTTCTAGCCAGGAGGGGCTCCTGCGGTGATGGAGAGGGAGAAAAGGTGAGAAATGAGCATGTTCGTATTAAGCCTAGTGGCTTGTCCCAGTCCTTTACTATGCATATTAGCCAATGCATAGGATACTTGCTATGTACCGAAGTTGCATGTGTACTGCTTGCAAGGCTCCATGAAAGATGCCAAAATAGAGAAGAAAACATATAAGATGCCAAGCAGAGGAAGGGTTACAAAATATTGTATCTATGTAAAAATCATGGTTAACCATTCTTATTCAGCTGCTAAATTCCAATCCAGTGATTCCGCCATACCAAATACTCAGCACAGAATACATCACTCGACTGCAATTTCTGAGGCCGTACATATATTAAGAGAAAACCCTAAGCGCTGGACAGCATTAGATGTCAGAAGAGATGTGGAAGAGTGGCGTTTTCCTGGTTTTCATTCTGCAATAGGCCTGCTTCAAAGCGTATTCTTTCAGTCAGTCACAGAGCTGTTTGGGTTGGAAGGGGCCTTAAAGCTTATCCAACCCTTCAGACCGCGATTACATAGATTTAGTCTATTAATAACTGGTTAAGTATGTGAGGTGAAGAGCGGTCCTCTCAGTAACACCGCCGGCCGTTCGGGAGCTAACTACAAACCCCAAACTGCCCTGCGGTGCCTGTATCGTTCAAACGTGCCAATGAGAGGTCGCGGAGTGCGTCACGTGAGTGGAGGGCGATTTTAAACGTCCGGTCGCCACCGCTGCGCTGTTCGGTGCGTGGCCGCCCTAAGGAGGTGAGTAGAGCGGCGGAGGCCGCTACCGGCGGGGGCCCTCGGTCACCCCAGCCGCCCCCTTGGTAACCAAGACGCCGGGGGGTGGCGGCTGGGGCGACCGAGGGCCCCCGCCGGTAGCGGCGGCCGCCACAGCTAGAGGTGTAAGCAGCGTTGTGGTCGGGGGTGCGGCGACCGTGCGAGCTCCCCTGAGGTGAGGCGGAGGGCGGTATGCGAGCAGCTCCGCGCGCACAGGGCAGCCTCTCCTTTCTGAGGGTGTCCGGGCTAACCTCTTGGCCAAGCCTGAGCAGGTTAAGGTGTTAAGGCAGGGACGAGGCTACCTTTGCTTACAGGAATGTCGTATGTGGTGCGTTTCTGGGCACAAACGAAAGGTACTGTCTGAAGCACAGCATGCGTTTCATCCTGTGGAGCCGAGCTAGCCTAGGATTAGTGCCGTAAAAAGGGGTTTTAGCCTGTGGTGGTAGCAGCCTTCTGCTGCGCACTGCAGCTGTATTCATGTAAAGAGTCCAGCTGTTGAATGCAGAATTTGCATTAAGGAATTTCATAAATTCTAGGCATCACTGCTGTGTTTGAATGCTTTTTCAGAGACAAAGCATTCCTCTGTTTATGTTAAAACATAAAACATGTTGGTGTCCTTAAACATAACATGTAGGAGTCTTCAAAAGGAATGTTTGCCTCCATGATAATTTGGCAGTATTATAAAATTCTGCGACCTTATTGGTTTTCTTAAACCTACTATATAGGTAATTCTGTATTTCCCAGGCACTATGGAGGAAGCAAAAGAAAAGGCAGCATCTTGCTCAAGTTATGTGATTGAGGAAAAAACGGATATTTGCATGAGTAATGGTAAGTGGAGGACAAGTTGGGGTATTTTCTACCTACTGTATCCCTTATTAAAAGCTAAGCCAGTTCAGATCTGCAGACCTCCTGTATCTGCTTCACATCTTGTTCTGTATACTCATGTCCTTGGATGGGCTGCTGTTGCCGATGTCAGACCTCCAACCAGCCCCAAGAACTTGTGAGGGAGCACTGGTGCTAGAGCATGTGCAGTGGCAACATGTTATCAACTACTCTTCTATATATCTAATCTGAGCTCCTCCCCTTTCCTTATCTGTTTGCTGCTGATTCAATTAATAGTGTACATATTAGCTAACAGTAAAATGAATCTTTCCCACTGGCTTCTTTTACTGTCCTGTGGTGGTTTGAACTGCAAAAGATTTGATTGGTAGGACAACTGTATTTTGCAGCTCTAGATTATATGTGTTCTTACTTTTCTTGACTGGAGGCTGTTAATACCCTTCCCCACAGCCAGATTTCATATTCCTGTTATGGATCCTTAGGAATCGGCATTGAGATCTTTCATCATATTTGGGCATCTATCACAACTATGATCATATTCACAGTTTACCTTTAATTTTTGTCCTAAAATATGCCTTTATTATTTTAATTATTTGAACCTGGTAGCTAAAACTTCCTTTGCCATCTGGCATCAGCTTCACCAAATTGTCAAAGCATAATGCAATCATTTTATTGAAATCCCTACTGCGATAAAGTTCTTCTTGTTACAGTTTCAGACTTTCCTCTTCTGTCTGATGAACAGTTTGATTTTGACCTTTCGCTGTCTCCAGCAAGGTAAGGGAAGATTCTGCAGGTAAATATACCTTTAAAATTGACACATGGTAGGTGCTGGGCTGACTTATTTTTCTTTGCAGTGGAAGTGAAGATGAAGTTTTTATGGGACCTTTGGGACACAAAGAAAAATGTATTTCTGTCAATATTGAAGCACAAAGTGCTGAAAAAGAGAGTGCATCTGTTTGTGATGATAAACTCATGTGGAGCCCACTTACAGGAGAGAAATTCGTGAAAATCTTCAAAGAAGCTCGTCTCTTAGCACTGCAGATAGAGACTGGAAGCAAGAATGAACAGACTAAAATAAAACAACCTGAAGAATTGGAAAACAAGATTACAGAAACATTTGTGGAGGACTCAAAGGCAAAATTAAAAATGCTGAGGAACCAAAATATAGAGGCGAGTCCCAGGGCTGTTAAAAGAGAGACATACTGTGTGTGGGAAAGCCCAGCATGTCAGCTGCCACCTTGTTTCCAGAAGGAATCAGATAAACTTTTGTCAGATGCTGAAACACATGTTCAAACAAGCCCTGTTAAAGTTCTTTTATCTCCTACAAAAATTGCCAGTTCACCTCTGACACAAACACAGAAAACTAAGGAAGGAAACATGAAGGCAACTGGCAAACTGCCAATGGCACAACCTTCATCTACTCTTGGAAAAAGCCATTTGTTGACTACTGAAGAGGTAAAGATAGATTCTGAGCAACAATATTTTCATTAAACATAGCCTTTATGTGTTAGGAATGTTTGAACTATCTACAAGCTTTATTTTTAAAGGTGAACTTTAATCCAGCGTTTCTTTACTTCATAAGATCTTTAGGCAGGAAACATTAATATATACAAAAAAGTCAGGGCAAGATACTATGGTGTAGTATCCAACTAGTTTATATATTATGACATTATACAGCATCTGCAGGCAAATTTGTGTTCCACTGTATTCTGGTTTTGTGAATACTATTATTCCTGGTTTCTGTTTAAATATTGGGGTCTTTGCTGGTAAAATTACTGCACTGTCCTTGGTGACTTAATGTCACTAAGGACTTGACTGGGTTCAAAACCTTCACTAACTCTTGTTTTAGTTTCTTAACAAGATCAATTTGTGTCAAAAGCTTTATAGTGGTTTCTAGACACGAGTAGCTTTTAAAATGTTTCATTGAAATTTGCAGCCCAAACTAGGAAAACATCCAAATATTTCTACAAAAGGAGACTTGAACAGCATGGGATTGCCTGAAGATCTAATTTCTGATAAATCTAGTGCTTATTCAGAGGTCTTTGAGTCTTCCTTGAGTGGCAGTTCCTCAGCACAAGATAAAAAAGCCCTTCCTGCACCAAGTAAGGTAATGGCAAGCATTCTTAATGTGAAAATATTTTTGTGATGTTCTGATAAGAAGAAAAAAATGAATATAGTTTGCTTTCTAATTTAAAGCTATATTGTCATGTGTATAATCGCTTTAAAGCAGTCTCTGTTCTGTAAATGCTGTTCTTGAATGTGTATTCTAAGGTTATAACACAACATATTCAAGAGCAACTATATATATGTTGGATTTACTGTGTTTCAGCCTGTGCCCATTGTCTCTGGTCCTGTCACTGGGCACCACTGGACACTGTCTTTTCAGATATTTGTATATGTTGATGAGATCCTTCTTGAGCCTTCTCTAGGCTCAACAGTCCCAGATCTCTAAACCTTCACTCAGATGAGAGATGCTCCAGTCCCTAAATTATCTTAGTGGCCCTTTGCTGAACTCTCTCCAGTAGCTCCAAATCACTCCCATACTGGGGAGCTTTGAACTGGACACAGATCCTGAGGTGTGGCCTTCCCAGTGGTGATCAGAAGGGAAAGATGACCTCTCTCCACCTGCTGGCAGCACTCCTAATGCAGCACAAGATACTGTTACCATTCTTTGCTCCAACTGTATGTTGCTGGCTCATGTTCAGCTTGTCCACCAGCACACTCGGAGCCTTTCCTATAAAGCTGGCTGTTGCCCAGCATATACTAGTGCCTGGATTACTCATTTTATTCTGTAGGTCCATACTCAAGTTTGTGGCAGGAATAGAAACAGCAAGCCTCCCTCCTTGATCTCATGTTCTAGTTCTGTGTAATAACCCAATATAATGAACTGTTTCTGAGAAAGTTCACTTTAAAAACTGTAATCTGAGGAAGGATCTTCTCTAAAATTTACACAAAGTGGTAAAACCAAGAAAAAGCACAGTAAAATAATGTGTTAAATAATTCTTATTTGATTTTGAATAAATTCTATTCTTTGATTCAGCCTGGCTTAAAGAAGGTAACACATCTGAAACTTCCTGGTGTCGGTGTCCCAAGAAAGATTACATCATCTTTGTCATCATTTTCCAGCATAAATTTGAGTCTGAATTCAAGTTTACCCATTTCTCCCATAGGAAAAAATGGTAATCACTTACACATTTGTGCCACAAATCAATTTTGAAATAGCTAAGCATATCTTGGATTTTGGGTTTGGGTATGTTTTAGTGGTGTCCAGTATATACAAGCAGTAAGTGTTTGGAATGGAGAATAAAATTTTGTAGCCCAGTAAATCCCTGTGGACTAAAGAGTAATCTTGGGCTTATACTGTTTGTAAAGTACTGACAGATGTAAGCACCACAGTTCTTGTAGGATCTATCAAGATAATCAAGTTACTGCAAGTTTTTAATTTGTAATTTGTTTCTGGATGGATAATAGTGTATCAGTCAGTAAAAGTTAAAGCTTAAGAAGAATAATTTTACATGATGGAAGTGTCTAGTCGAGACTCATCCTATTAATGAAAGCAACCAGCTAGACTAAAAGAATCATACAGAAAACTAAGAAAAGCATTTGTGGGGGAGTTCAGCCCATGGTGTTGATCAGTGTAACTTGAACTATTACCTTCTTGAATGCCTGCTTAAGGGAACATAGCCAACTATGCTGTGAGGAAATGTTGAAAATGGAACTTGAATCTGCAAGCTGTTTTGGCAGTTCTTGAAGAATATTCTTCGACTTGATTGCAGTAATTTGGAATTTGGTGAGGAGACTTTCTAAGATGAGATTGGTGGAGGATTCAGGGAGTAAGTTTTCAGTAGCTGTATGTGTTCTTAAAGCTGAGTTGTTTACAATATTTAAGTTTATATTTAAATTAGCTTGTTTTTTTTCCTTTTGTGAGCATATTCTGCTTAGTCAAAAACTTAGCAATAAGCAACAATTCAGAAGTATAACTTAACTTTCTGTTTCAGGAAAACCAAGCATGTCTTCAAAAGTTACTGTGAGTGGCTCTAAGCTTTCATCTAGTACAAACAGGTCAGCCTTTGTCAGACCTACCAAAGCGTCATCTCTGCAGGCTGCCAATGCT